TGTAATAATTAAACTAAGTCAGAATCTATGTGATTAAGGGCTTGTGGCTTTGTGAGAAGCCTAAAGACATGAAACGTAAAAGAGAAGCGTTGTCTTTACTTTATATGCTTATGAGATATGGTTGTTGATATGATTACTGGTCCGAAACAGATTGTGATTCTGCTGTGTTTGGACTTTGAGCTTGTGTGGACTCTTGGCTTGGATAGCTAGCTTGCAAGGTAAGCTTTCGTGTCCTCGGTTTAGCCATTGTTTGTTCCACCATGTCCCATGGGGGGATGGTTTATATGCATGATGTGTTTTTCATGTATTGTTTTATTGAAATGCTTTTGAGTTGTTAAGTGCAAATGCTTATGCTGATTATGTTGGGATGCTGGATTATGTTTGTTTCTATTATGCTATTAGCTTCATGTTATGAATTATTGAGATGAGACTCTGCTGGTTATGTTGTTTTATTTGGTGAGCATGGGGATTGTCCATGTCACGTTGACTTGACTATGTCTTAGTTTAAATTCGAGTTGTAATAAAGTATCAGGATATTGTCCGGACTATGTGTTGTAGATCCGTGACATAGATACTCACTTGTTTATATACGAGGTATTTCAGTTAGCTGTCTTTTGCAATTTACATACAGGCAATGTTTTGAAAATGAATTAAGTAATTCAACTTGGTAATGATAATGACGTCATAATTGAAAGGAAAAAGATATTCCGCATTTTATATTAAGCATGGCTTAATATGATGACATGTTAACAAACCGGGTATACACGGACTGTTACATTTTATGGTATCAGAGCACTTTCTAGGGAAAAACCTGTATGTATTACAATAACTTAGGATGTTTTGTGGTGAGTCGTGTCTATGTGTTCTCTCTATTGGGTTTTTCTATGATAATGCATATGTGACCACATTGCGTGGGCCTGATCAACTTATTCTTTGTGTAAATTGTGCAGAGTCATGGTACTACCTCGGAGGAACCGAGACACTAGCGGGGATCAACCTGATCCTGTCCTGGATGCATTGGCTGAGATGTAGACGGCTCGACTAGCCGACCAGGAGGCCATAAGAAAGGCAAACCAAGCTATGCTAGACGCTGTCAGAGAGGCGAACAGGAAAGCCACTGAGGATGTATTGGAGGCGAACCGCCTGGCGAACATGACTATGATGAGGGTCATGTTGGAGGAGATGAGGGCTGGTTCTGCTGTTGGTCAGTTCCCTCCGCCACCACCCCCACCTAGTCTTCAGGACGAGAGCCTGAGTCACGTTGAGGGTGTCACTCCTCTTACTGGGGTGATGGAACGCTACATGGAGCCTGCTGAGTACCGTGATGTGATTGACCGTCGGCTTAATGCTTTTCGCAAGCATAAGCCACCTACCTTTGATGGATCTTATGATCCTATTGCTGATGCAAGATGGCTACAGGCGTTAGATAAGATCTTTCGGGTCATGCAGTGTACCGACCCGCAGAAGCTGATGTTCGCCACATATATGCTGGAAAATTTAAAAGAATTGAGTTATTATTAATTTGAAAATTCCAATGTAGAAAGCAGTGAGACATTGAATGAGTTGTCTGCCACCACAAATTGTTCACTTAAATTTTCATTTATTTTATTTTGATTTATAGATTAAATTTTATATTTTTTAATTTCGACGATTTACTAAAGGAAGAAATTTTTCAAATGACATGTAGTGTGAACATATTTATAGATAATAAATTTAAATTTAATATAAAATATAAATCAAATGAAAAAATATTTAAAATTTTAAAAATATGTGTATAGTTGTAAAAAAGATGAAAAAAATATTAAATTTAAATGCAAAAAACAAATAAGAAATGACATATTTATACTACAAAAGAAAATAAATAAAAATATTTAACTTAAAAAAATAATACAAAAAGAGACAAAAATTCGAACAAGTATTTTTTTAAAAAAAACAATTAACATAAATATTTTAAATATATATATGTATATCTAATCTTAAACTTACAAATTAAAAGATAAAAAATTAATTTTTTGAATAATATGTATAATTAATAAAAAAATTACATCTATCATTCTGTAAAAAAAATATATAAAAATTTAATCACTTAAAAATGAATGACCATTTAGTGACCAATGACTATCTAACTCCTGCATCGTAAAAAGATGTTTGTCATTAAGTATTTTACAAACTATTTTAATGTTTCTCATTATTTTTTGAAAGGAATATTGTTAAGCCTATTAATAATATTATTTAGGGAAAACTTCAAAACTTCCCCTATGAGTTATCTTATTTATCACTTACCCCCCTCATAAAATTTCTGAATCACTTACAGTCTTACACTCTTATTTAGATTTTTTTATCACTTACTCCCCTGACTTAAAGTTTTTTTTATCACTTATCTCCCTCACTTAGGGGGGTAACTGATAAAAAAACTTTAAGTCAGGGGGTAAATGATTCAAAATTTTATGAGGGGGGTAAGTGATTATAAGAAAAGTAACAGGGGTGAGAGAATATTTAATGTTTATAATTCAAAGGTTTTAAATTTAAATTTTGAACTTAATAGGTGAGAAAAGAGTTTCAAGCAAAAATTGAAATGATCAAAAATTAAAATTTGATTAAACAGAGTATCAAGAAGATAAATGATTACACATGTGCTTACAAAAAAAATGATTACACATGTAAAATAGTTAATTTATAATAAAAATTTAAGGTGCTAAAATTAAAATTTAATAAACTTAAGTATAAAGGAAATAAATTTAGAATATACTACTTATTTAATCTTACGTTATAATATCTATATACATATATACACACACACATATATATATATGCGTGTGCGCGCGCGTTTAATATTTTCTAATGTACAAAACCGTAAAACATGTGTCATTCAGCTGGTATCATACTATTTTATGAAAAGATAAAATAAAATTTAAGCTAAAAGTATGTTAGCACACTTGATATCAAGTTAGAATACAAAGTTTTAATAATGATTTAAATTCTTTAATTTATCTTTTTTTTTAATGTGTAATAGAGTTTTTTTCTTTCAACAACATTTTGTTTGCTAAAAAAAGTAAATTAGTGTATATATATATATATATATATATATATATATATATATATATTCTAATTGTTTTTACTTAAATAATAACTTATTTGATTATATTAAATGCAATTCAATTCTATTCACCAAACATTTAATTTAGTAGAATAATTTTTTGTATCAACTCATATTTGTTCATTATATTTTTGTTATAAATATAATAAAATATGCACAATGAAGACAAAAGAATTTAAATTTTTATTTTAAATAAAAAATGACATTCATCATTCTATAAAAAATAAAGAGTAAATACTCTTTTTCGTCCTTGGAAATTTTTGCGAAGCACAATTTAGTCCCTCGGTTTTAAAAAAGTCATATTTCAGTGTCTGATTTTTGAAAAAAAAGGGACACGTTTATCCTTCTGTTAAGTGGAAAGTGACGGCCCTGTTCACGGACGCCACCTGGAACGTTAAGTGGCTGAGTCACTAACGCCTTGCCCTCGTGGAGAGAAAACGACGTCGTTTAGATAGGCCCCTTGTGTCTAGTTGGATGTTTGGACATGTGACTGTTGCATGAAAGGGTGAGTGACCCAATATAGTCCCTGTCAAATTAGAAACCCTAAATCAGCCTCAGAATAAAAAAAACCCCAAAACATAATTTGTTGAAGATTGAAAATAGTGTCAAGTAGAAGGTGTTTACTGGCTATTTTCTGGTGCGTAGAAGACGATGAGTATGTCATCTGGCTTGGGGGGATGAAGTGGGACTACGTCTTTTGGGTGTCAGATGTTGGTGAGCAAGAACTGAGTATGAATGAAGTGGGACTACGTTCTTGTCACTAACTGATTCTTACTTTCTTGAACAACCTGACGGAATGGAGGTCGAAGGTGCAAGATGTTGTTGAGCAAGAACTGAGTATGAATGTGCAGGAAAGAATGCTGTGATGATTGCAAGTGTTGTAACAATGAAATGTTATGTACGAAATGTAGTTTTTCTTCAATGAAATTTAATGACTTGTTGAGAAGATGCAATGTAGTTCTGTTATTTGGGCTATAAAATGTGTTTATGTGTATAATGCTAACTTCATGCTTCAATACAGTAAATGTCAAATTTGTTGCTGCAAATGGGAATTTGAGAACTGGATATTGGAACGTAATGATTTAAACTAGACCCTAAATTAGTCCCTGGAATTATGTATCGAGGGCCAAATAGGTCCTTGAAAAATGCTATCGTGGCACGTTTTGGTCCCTCACAGTTAAAAATTGGACATGACCTGTTTAGACTAAATTGGACACAAGCTGCAACTTAAAAGCTGCATTTTTTATTCAAAAAAAAAAGCTGCATTTTAAAACCTGCATTGGATTGCAGCATAAGCCAGATTGCAGCAAATGGCAGTACAGAATTGAATTCAGCAAAGGAACTTGTAGTAAAAAATGCAGCAAAAGAAACTTGTAGTAAATGAAGATATGAGACAGTACAGAGACATAATGCAGCAAAAATTGGACATGAACATATTGCATTGAATTGTGTCCAAACAGCAACGACCAAAACCCAAACATCAACCACCTGCACTGTAGGCAGAATGAAAAAGACTCATACACAAATTCAAAAATAACCATACAGATACATATCGCAGCAAAGAGAAAAAACTGATATAAAAAAGAAACTTGTAGTCATTCATAATGGAACTTGTAGTCAGTTACAATTCAAAACTCTACCATCATAATTAAAGGCTTGCCAGAAGTTATGGTCCACATAAACCATTGTAAATCATCCTTCAAACTATTCCCCTGTTGTTTTTTTTTTTGCTTCAAAATACTCCCAGACAGAGACATATTGTGATTCAAAAAAAAAGCATACACTTCAGTTAAATGTCTTAAATACAAAAAAAGTGGGGGCACCAAAAATTACAGTCATGAACATTGTTGCCTATACAACAAAAAGTGAACCCCTACACAAAAAAACTGTATCCAGATTTCATTCAAGCTGGTCTTGGTGGCCTAAACCCAGGTGTGGCCATGAATTCCATAAGCCTGCTCCTTGTGCCACTGCTTGTTGCATTGACAGTTTCAGTTGACAATTGTTCTGCTGGTGGTGTGGCTGTAGGTGGTGGGCTGTTGGCCCTCATGGCTTCATCAGGTGCCTGGGACTGCCTTGAAGGTCCTCCTTGACTCAGAGGGATCTCCTCTTGATGTGGAGCTGTTATGTTGACATTAACTGCATGTGAAGGTGCTGCTGCTATCCTCCATCTCTTGCTTGTAGCTGGTCCCTTACAGGTCTTTGCATAATGACCAGATTGCCCACATTTACCACAAACTGCAGCACGTGCCCTCTTTAATTTTTTTGTTTTGCTCACTTGCTCCTCAGGTTCATCCTTCTTCCTATGCTTTTTGGGACGGCCAATAGGCCTTTTCAGTGGTGGAGGAATGGGTTTAGGCTCATATGAAGCAGGCCAATATTGTTCCAAATTTACAGGGTTCAAGGTATGTGCATAAGTGGCATGCAAAGCATCCACTGTCAGCCACTGATGGACATAAAGCTCTGCTGGTTCATTCTTGTGGCATATTGCAGCAATTGCATGCTCACATGGCATTCCTGTGAGCTGCCAGACATTACATGCACAAGTCTTGTATGTAAGATTGACACCAACCCTTTCACCCTTTGCAGTCACTTCATATAAGTCTTGCTCCAAGTTCCCTGTCCAAGTTGGTGTCCAGGAGTTGCTTAACACCTTCAATTGATCCAGCTTTTTCTGTTGAGCTGGGGCAATTTTACCCCTAACAGTACCCAAAATTCGTTGATGGGTAGCCATTCTCCTCATGATATAGCATCTCAGTTCTTCACATAGGCTGACAATGGGCTTGGACCTATATGCAACAATTTTTGCATTCCACACCTCAGCCATGTTGTTGGTTATATTGTCACACTTGGGCCAGTGACTAAAATATGCCTTAACCCAGCATGAGGGGTGAATCTTGTTGAGGTATGCCCAAGCATCTTCATTCAACTCCTTCAATTTATCCATTGTTCTTTGGAATTGGGGCACAGTTGTGCATCGTGCAGCCTCCCATACTATTCCTCTAATGGCTTTGTCCTTCCATTGCTTAATAAAATTCTTCCACACGTGCTGCACACAGAACCTATGATGGGCACCAGGCATGACCTCCTGTAATGCTGGTATCAAACCCTGCATCCATATATCAAGCAACAACAAAAGTGATCACACATGGCTAGTAATGAACAGCTTTTAAAAAAGGAAAAAAACCTTTGAAAAAAACATACCTTTTGCTGATCACTTATGAAGTTCCATCCATGCACTACACAACTGCCAATGTCTTCTTGTAGCAAGGTCAGAAACCACTTCCAATTTTCCTTGGTCTCACTGTCAACAACTGCAAAAGCAATGACATAAAAGCTCTTGTTTGCATCCTGTCCCACTGCACTCAATAGCTGTCCCCCATAGTAACCTTTCAAGAAACATCCATCCAGTCCAATCAATGGTCTACAACCAGCTTTGAATCCTTTCTTGCAGGCATCAAGGCAGACATACAGTTTGTTAAAAATTGGTGGGCTGTTAGGGACTGGTTGTGGAATTACTTGCATCTGGCAAGTGGAGCCAGGGTTGCTCCTCAAAAGCTCAGCTAGGTAGTCCCTTAGCTTTCCATACTGTTCCTTCTCACTTCCTTCTATGTTTTGTTTGGCCTTGTGTAGTGCCTTCCCTAATTTCTTCAGATGAACATGGACCTTGTACTCTTCCTTTAAATGGTCATAAGCCTCGGCTCTTGTCATATTGGGCTGTGTGACCAGCCTTTTCTCCAACTTTGCAGCAACCCAATCCCTGGTGGCCCTTTTATTTTTGAAAATTCTGCAGCAGGTATGGTTGTCATTGAATGTCTTGACTTGGAAACAATTGAATTTGTTGCTCCAAGAACAATATATCATCCACTCACAGTCAGCATTTGAGCACTTGGCTCTTGATCTTACCTTGTCATTCTTAAGCCATACAAACTGCCTCCCAAGACTTATATTGTAGTCTTTGACACCTTGTTTAAAGTGCTCCAAACTGGCAAACTCCATTCCAAGCTCGAGCTGTACTAAACCAAAGGGCTGGTCCTCATTAAACTTAGGAAACACTTCCCTTTCAACCTCCTCATCCCCACTTGAAGGTGGAGTCTTCAATTCTTCAGAATTGTAACCATAGCCTTGATCTTCAAATGACATATTTTGCTCATCCTCAGAATTGTTAACTGTCTTTTTTTCCTTCTTTCCTTTCACCTTCTTTTTCAATGCAATAATTGGTTCATCATCTGTATCGTCTTCAACACCGGTGGCGGAGGCTTATAAGGCTCGTCTTCTACACTGTCATATGAATCACTTGACAATCCATTGCCCTCCCCCTCTTCATATTCATCATCGAGAGTCATATGGGAGTCAGACAAACTGTCAACTGAATCACCTAATACCCCCTCCTCATCAGCACTTTCAGGAGGGGTTGGATCTGCAGCCCCACCCAAAATCTCAGGAATTGCAATGCAACCATCAAAATATATGTCTATTTTGTTCCCATTACTTAAGGCAGCCTTGACCATTTGCAAAATATCAGAATCTTTTTCAAGAAGATGCAACCCAACCTCTAAATCACTCTCACCAGGCTTCAACCACCACATCCGCCTACATTTGTGGTAACCATACCCCTTGAACAGAGCTTCAAGGTCACGAAGGTTTACATAGTCTCCATCCATTTCTGGTAAATCATCCACTCTCCCATTCACATAATTCAGCTTCCCTTCATCATTCCTAACCAACACACCACCATGATGATATCTCATGACTATATACTGATCCATCTGCATATAAAACAGAACATAATCATTTTTTACACTACCATTATATTAATTTACAATATCATACAAGTAATCACTACTTAACAATATGGCTTTAGGGCTTTTTTAATGGCTGCATAAAACTAATTCCACGACATTGTCATAAATAAATTTGGGGCTTTTTTGGTAATCACTACACACACCAACTTAAAATAACAAATGGGGGACCACATGCAACAAGTTCCAAAAAGATTCAACCAAAGGGGACCACATTAAAAAAAACCCTAACTTTGTCATTCCTTAACCACACATGGGGGACCACATTAAGCAAAAACACCATTTTAAATACGAAAGAGGGACCGCAGATAATAAACAAAGAAACGAATTTCACGTACCTTGCACGACAGTAACCAGAGTCACAACCGTTTAACGATCTCTTCAACCTAAACCACACTACTTCCACAAGCTTCCAACTGCAGAAGCCACGTACAGCAACAAACCACCGTGGGTCACCAACCTTCACCGCAACTGAAGCTCACGAGCTGAGGAAATAGGGGAGGAAATGCCGGGTATGGACGACTTGTGTGACTGTGTCAACTGAGTCAACAACAGGTGTAGATCAACTCACATGCCATTCCTCAAACGACATTGTTCCCTTTCTGAAATACCTGATACAACCTTCCAATGTAAAACGACGTCGTTCCTTTTCTCTCCACGTGGGCAGGGCGTTAGTGACTCAGCCACTTAACGTTCCAGGTGGCGTCCGTCAACAGGGCCGTCACTTTCCACTTAACAGAAGGATAAACGTGTCCCTTTTTTTTAAAAATCAGACACTGAAATGTGACTTTTTTAAACCGAGGGACTAAATTGTGCTTCGCAAAAATTTCCAGGGACTAAAAAGGGTATTCACTCAAAAAAGAATTACCTGATTTGGATACCCGAGTCAAAAGTTATGGCTTCAGAAGTTTTATGATTAATTTTTTTTTTTGAAAAAAAAAATATGACACGTGTCAACACCTGATAAGTGACGCCTAAATTAGACGTGATTGCCTCTTGAGTGACGCCCAATTTAGACGTCTTTAGTGACATCCAAATTGGGCATCATATTGTGTAATAAATGTGTAATTATTTTTAAAATTGTAATAAATACATAATTAAATTATTAAAAAGTATTAAATTAATTTTTTTTGCGCAGTAGCCCCCCAATTTTGAAATGGCACTTCAGCCTCAAAAATGGGCACCCAAGGAGATTAAGCCATTTGGTTCTCTTATATAAAGAGGATAGAAGAATAGAATAAAAAAGAAAAAAGGAGAAAAAAAATTCTAAAGAAAAAAGAAATACCAAGTAAGAAAAGAAAAAGAGTTCTGAAAGAAGACAGTGGAAGAATAGTTAAACTCAAATTTGTTGAAGAAAAGGAACAAAATAAATAAATAATTAATTAAATAAAATGATAAAGCTTAAACAAAAAAATTGGATAAATAAATAATAAAATTTTATTTTTTCGTACTTTTTAATTTTGAATATACTTTTTTCTTTTTGTTTTTTTCCTCAAAATATAGGTTCATAGTTTAAATTTTTTTATTTTTAAATATTTGGGATAAAATTAGTTATTCACACTCGGATGTACCATATACTATTAATCAAGGTTTTTGATAATCGACAAATGATTATCTAATTCAGTACTACTCCACTAAAAGTTCAAACTTCAACTCCAAGATTAATAACATATATAATATGAATATGCATCGCCCTTTTATAGAATATTAATAATTAATTGATGAATTTTCTGTTACTCGATCAATTATTTATCCGTTTGACTGTAATAGTTTCTCTAATGAATTACATGCATTGTCTAGTGTCTTCAATATCCAAGTTTCAAAACATATCAAGGGGACATATCTTACAAATTTCATATTGTTTATCTCATAAATACTGAAAATCAAATAATCTCACTCCCAAAATACCGAGTTATTGGTCATCAAAAGAGCATACCTCACCCATTGGTAAATCACAAAATGAAAACTATTTAGCTACCTATTTAAAATAAACTTATTATTAAAAGCAATCACATAACTATAGTTAACTGAAAATTTGATACCTTATGATAAAAAAATAGCATTAATCAAATATCTCATTTATCCTTTCAATGTGAATATTAATTCATACAAATATTTTACAATGATTCAAACAAAAACATTTCAGAAAATATTATAGTCTAAATAAAACACCCAATTTTATTTAACAGTTGTGAACCAATTCATCAATCATGATAATTTATGATCATATCCTCCACGAACGTATCCAAATAATCATATAGTCCACAATTGATCAGGAGCTTAATATTTGTAAATTGTGTGAACAAAATAATGAACAATACATCATTTCTAATATTCAGAAAATGATTACCTTATTTCATTGTCTTATTCCAAGAGTACAATGAACACAATATCTCTCATCCGCCTGATTGAAGTTTGGGATCGTCCTAAGACTCAAAGAAGTAACATGCCGCTCAAACATAAGTTTAGACAAACTATTAGTAACTGAGTATGTAAGATCCACCTCTAATACTATCTTAGTTTAATACAAACCTCATAGCTGCAGGTCGGTTTTCTTGAGTTTATCCACTTGACAAGTTGAATATGTGAAAACTCAAGTTTTCAAGACTCTCACCAGAATATACCAGCATATAATTTCTCGTTTTCTGAAGATACTTGAGTACATGATGTGCCTCCAATTTATTATGTATTAAAGGTTAATATGAGCATGAAATTGATTTAAAAGTAATTAAAATTTATAAGAATTATAATTAAATTGTTATTTTATTTTCAGCAATATTCTCATAAAAATTCTTATATTTTGCAGTAATTTTCAACTCAATAAAGAGATAAATTAGAGAGCTCAAGTGGATTTGCTTTGGATTTCTGAATCATTGAAGATTTTATTGAATCTTTCTTGAATATTTTTTAAGGAAAGTTTTCCTTTGAATATAAAAGGGAAGATTTGAAGGATTGGATCAAAGATATGATTGGAGATTCTGGTGAAGATTCCATTGAAGATATTATGAGAAATTAAAAGATATGGTTTCATCACTATAAAATGCAACTCTTGGAAACACATAAAGGCAAGCACATTGAGAAGGAAGAGAACACCGGATACCAGAGTTTGAGATTTCAAAGAGAGAGGAGTTTGAAGGAGATTGAACAACATTGATTCTTCTTCTTCTTCTTCTTTTTATTTCTTTGTTTTGTTTAAGCCAACTATGTCTGGCTAGTTTATTTTTGTAGTTAGGGTCATAGATCCGATGTGAACCCTTTTGATATTTAAATTATTTTTACAATTCTTTTATTTCAATTAGTTTTATTTTACCTTGAATGAAATTTCTATATCCTTATTAGAATTGATCTATCTTATACGGCTTTGAGGGTTAGAGCTCACAATAGACATATTGGAGTTTTAATCCTGACTGGGGTAGAATAACAATTTGTGCATGATTTAGACATAGGCTTGTATGAATTGCAAACTTCTTAATTCATTGAACTTAATGCTTAATTCAAGAAGGATAAGACATTGGAATTCTAATTGGGTTAAAAGGTTAAATACACTAAGATATTAGGGTTTAACCAATTAATTTAAAGAAGATGAATTGTCTGAACAATTGAAATAATTGATTATAAGAATTAATTTAAATTGATAAGGGGGATCAAAAGTGAAGAGTACCCTGACTACACTTCTTTATTATAATTCCTTAATTGTTCTTGCATGTTCTTGATAGTTTTTACAATTACTTTTCGCTTTATTTTAATTCAACAATTATTCTCTACATCAAATTGATTTATCCAAATTAAAGGGAAGAGTGAGAATAATATTTGGTGCATTAATCATTGTGGGACGATACTCTACCCACACTTTATTACTTGAAACGATCGGTATAGTTTGTCGTAATCGCAACAGTATATGATTAACAACAATCTAGTGTTCCTCTAAGATCAGAATGGTTCCGTCTTACTACTCCCACTGTGTGGCAAATGTCTGGTTTAATGCACAACATGATTTACATGAGATTAACTATTGCCAAAGCATAAGGTATTCTACTCATGCATTCTTCCTTCTCAGGATTCTTTAGAGGTTACTCTTTAGAAAGAAGAATTTCACGTTTGAGAGATATAATTCCTCCCTTACAATTTACCATGTTGAATTTTGGGAAGAGTTTTGTTAATATAAGTAGTCTATGGTGATGCCAATAACTTATTTTTTCGATCTTGTAAGAGTTTTATACCAAGAACATATTGGCTTCCCTAGGTCTTTCATATCAAAATGTTCACTCGACAAACTCTTTATGCTTGACATTACCTCCATGTTGTTTCCAATAAATAGCGTATCATCTACATAAAGTATCA